GTCAAGCCTGACCTTAAAAACCTCTAAGGAAGGAGATTCTACCACCTCCCTAGGTAACGCATTCCAGTGTTTCACCACCCTCTTAGTGAAAAGTTTTTCCTAATATCCAATCTAAACCTCCCCCACTGCAACTTGAGACCATTACTCCTCGTTCTGTCCTCTGCTACCATTGAGAACAGTCTAGAGCCATCCTCTTTGGAACCCCCTTTCAGGTAGTTGAAAGCAGCTATCAAATCCCCCCTCATTCTTCTCTTCTGCAGGCTAAACAATCCCAGCTCCCTCAGCCTCTCCTCATAAGTCATGTGTTCCAGACCCCTAATCATTTTTGTTGCCCTTCGCTGGACTCTCTCCAATTTATCCACATCCTTCTTGTAGTGTGGGGCCCAAAACTGGACACAGTACTCCAGATGAGGCCTCACCAATGTCGAATAGAGGGGAACGATCACGTCCCTCGATCTGCTCGCTATGCCCCTACTTATACATCCCAAAATGCCATTGGCCTTCTTGGCAACAAGGGCACACTGCTGACTCATATCCAGCTTCTCGTCCACTGTCACCCCTAAGTCCTTTTCTGCAGAACTGCTGCCTAGCCATTCGGTCCCTAGTCTGTAGCGGTGCATTGGGTTCTTCCGTCCTAAGTGCAGGACCCTGCACTTATCCTTATTGAACCTCATCAGATTTCTTTTGGCCCAATCCTCCAATTTGTCTAGGTCCTTCTGTATCCTATCCCTCCCCTCCAGCGTATCTACCACTCCTCCCAGTTTAGTATCATCCGCAAATTTGCTGAGAGTGCAATCCACACCATCCTCCAGATCATTTATGAAGATATTGAACAAAACCGGCCCCAGGACCGACCCTTGGGGCACTCCACTTGATACCGGCTGCCAACTAGACATGGAGCCATTGATCACTACCCGTTGAGCCCGACAATCTAGCCAGCTTTCTACCCACCTTATAGTGCATTCATCCAGCCCATACTTCCTTAACTTGCTGACAAGAATACTGTGGGAGACCGTGTCAAAAGCTTTGCTAAAGTCAAGAAACAATACATCCACTGCTTTCCCTTCATCCACAGAACCAGTAATCTCATCGTAAAAGGTGATTAGATTAGTCAGGCATGACCTTCCCTTGGTGAATCCATGCTGGCTGTTCCTGAACACCTTCCTCTCATGCAAGTGCTTCAGGATTCTTTGAGGACCTGCTCCATGATTTTTCTAGGGACTGAGGTGAGGCTGACTGGCCTGTAGTTCCCAGGATCCTCCTTCTTCCCTTTTTTAAAGATTGGCACTACATTAGCCTTTTTCCAGTCATCCGGGACTTCCCCGGTTCGCCACGAGTTTTCAAAGATAATGGCCAATGGCTCTGCAATCACAGCCGCCAATTCCTTCAGCACTCTCGGATGCAACTCGTCCGGCCCCATGGACTTGTGCACATCCAGCTTTTCTAAATAGTCCCTAACCACCTCTATCTCCACAGAGGGCTGGCCATCTCTTCCCCATTTTGTGATGCCCAGCGCAGCAGTCTGGGAGCTGACCTTGTTAGTGAAGACAGAGGCAAAAAAAGCATTGAGTACATTAGCTTTTTCCACATCCTCTGTCACTAGGTTGCCTCCCTCATTCAGGAAGGGGCCCACACTTTCCTTGGCTTTCTTCTTGTTGCCAACATACCTGAAGAAACTCTTCTTGTTACTCTTGACATCTCTCGCTAGCTGCAGCTCTAGGTGCGATTTGGCCCTCCTGATTTCATTCCTACATGCCCGAGCAATATTTTTATACTCTTCCCTGGTCATATGTCCAACCTTACACTTCTTGTAAGCTTCTTTTTTATGTTTAAGATCCGCTAGGATTTCACTATTAAGCCAAGCTGGTCGCCTGCCATATTTACTATTCTTTCGACTCATCGGGATGGTTTGTCCTTGTAACCTCAACAGGGATTCCTTGAAATACAGCCAGCTCTCCTGGACTCCTTTCCCCTTCAAGTTAGTCCCCCAGGGGATCGTGGCCATCCGTTCCCTGAGGGAGTCGAAGTCTGCTTTCCTGAAGTCCAGGGTCCGTATCCTGCTGCTTACCTTTCTTCCCTGCGTCAGGATCCTGAACTCAACCAACTCATGCTCACTGCCTCCCAGATTCCCATCCACTTTTGCTTCCCCCACTAATTCTACCCGGTTTGTGAGCAGCAGGTCAAGAAAAGCACCCCCCCTAGTTGGCTCCTCTAGCACTTGCGCCAGGAAATTGTCCCCTACGCTTTCCAAAAACTTCCTGGATTATCTATGCACCGCTGTATTGCTCTCCCAGCAGATATCAGGAAAATTAAAGTCACCCATGAGAATCAGGGCATGCGATCTAGTAGCTTCCGTGAGTTGCTGGAAGAAAGCCTCATCTACCTCATCCCCCTGGTCCGGTGGTCTATAGCAGACTCCCACCACTACATCACTCTTGTTGCACACACTTCTAGTCACACAAGCAATTCCCTTAGACACTCCAGTTTCCCAGTATCTCCACCAATGCCACTTGTTATGGCAACAAATGGTTATGAAAACCAATACCCCAGTAAAAGAAAAAAGGTTCTCTCGATCCCAAAGGACCAAGCCCCAGACCCAGGTCAATATACAAATCAGATCTTACCCACAAATCATGCTGTTGCCAATCCTTTAGAATCTAAAATCTAAAGGGTTATTCATAAAAGGAAAAAGATACAGATGAGAGCTAGAATTGGTTAAATGGAATCAATTACATACAGTGATGGCAAAGTTCTTGGGTCAGGCTTGTAGCAGTGATAGAATGAACTCCAGGTTCAAATCCAGTCTCTGGAGAACATCCCCAGCTGGGATGGGTCTTTCAGTCCTTGGTTCAAAGCTTTAGTGCAGCAAAGTCCCTCCAGAGGTAAGAAGCAGGACTGAAGACAAGATGGAGGAGCTGCAGCAGCTTTTTACAGTCTCTTGCCGTGTGGTCTCTCTCTTTGTCCCAAAGACAAGCTGCCCATCACAGGGCCTGGAAACACCTCAGAGTTCTGTCCAGAGGCAGGTCCTTGCACATCTTGCTGAGATGCAAGGCGTGTCTGCCTTCTCTCAATGGGTCACTTGTGTCGCTGATGGTCCTTAATGGGCCATCAAGCAGGCTAGGCAGAGCTGACACCAACTTGTCTGGGGTGTCACCGAGAAGCATAACATAAGTTTGAAATACAGACAGTATAGAACCAATATTCATAACTTCAACTACAAAAATGATACACATATACAGATAGCTTAATCATAACCAGAAAACCAAAACCTTGTCTTAGACACCTCATTTGACCCCCTTTATATAAGATTTGATGCTACTACAGGACCTTGGTTGCAACAATGATCTGTACGGTCCCGGCTTATGTCAATAACATTACATATTGGAATTAGCAATGTGATTTTTTTAAACACAAATCTTTGGTCAGCCCAAATCAAGGCATTTCTTACAGTTCTCTCCCATGTGGATTTTCTCTTGTCTAATAGGGAATGACCGCTGATTGAAGATTTTCCCACACGCAGAGCATGTGTAGGGTCTCTCTCCACTGTGGATTCTATGATGTCTGACAAGGTCTGAGCGCTCAATGAAGTTCTTCCCGCACTCAGAGCATGTGTAGGGTCTCTCTCCTGTATGGATTCTCTGATGCCTGCTCAGGGTAGAGCTCTGTTTGAAGCTTTTCCCGCACTCAGAGCATGTGTAGGGCATCTCTCCTGTGTGGATTCTACGATGTGTGATAAGCTGTGAGTGCCGATTAAAGCTTTTCCCGCACTCAGAGCACGTGTATGGCGTCTCTCCTGTGTGGATTCTACGATGTGTGATAAGGTTTGAGCTCTGATTGAAGCTTTTCCCGCACTCAGAGCATGTGTATGGCGTCTCTCCTGTGTGGATTCTCCGATGTGTGATAAGGGCAGACCTCCGACTGAAGCATTTCCCGCACTCAGAGCACATGTAGGGTTTCTCTCCTGTGTGGATTCTACGATGTGTGGTAAGCTGTGAGTGCCGATTAAAGCTTTTCCCACACTCAGAGCAAGTGAAGGGCGTCTCTCCTGTGTGGATTCGCTGATGTGCGATGAGGGCATAGCTCCAACTGAAGCGTTTCCCACACTCACAGCATCCATAAGGTTTCTCACCCGTGTGGATTCTCCTATGTGTGATGAGGTATGAGCTCCGACTGAAGCGTTTCCCACACTCAGAGCATCCATAAGGTTTCTCACCCGTGTGGATTGTCTGATGTGTGATAAGGTGTGAGCTCCGATTGAAGCGTTTCCCACACTCAGAGCATATGTAGGGTCTGTCTCCTCTGTGGATTCCCTGATGTGTGAAAAGGTCTGAGCTCCCATTGAAGCTTTTCCCACACTCACGACATGAGTAGCGTGTCTCTTCCAAGTTGATTCTCTCATGTCTAATAAGGTCTGAGAGGCTACTGAAGCTTTCCTCTGGCCTCTGCTGAGTCTCACAGGCTTTTGCTTTTTCTGGGAGTGCACAACTCCCGGAAACATTCCCTTTGGGTCTTCCTGATAATGTCCCATGTGGTTCTAGTGGCTCAGCATCTTCCTGCTGGGGTTTCTCCTCCTCGTTCTCACTCACCACCCCACCACCTGATGGGAGACAGAGAGAATCCAGACATAGGTCACTCCCTGCACCACAGAGAAAGGAAATCTCAGAGACAGGAATGGAAAAAGGGATGAACTAAAATATGTGTGGGAGAGATCAAACCTATCAGGAGCTGATTTTCCCCAAACCTTTCCCCAAAGGAGAGAGGAAGGGATCAGTTTTGGTCCCCATCTCACCAGAACACTCAGGGGAAAGTGAGATCGGGGAGGGACCTGCTGCCAGTTTTCACTCAGGATAGGTGGGAAGCCATGAGTGACCTCTGCCTAATGATTCCACATCTGCAGGGAACAATCCTGAACTTGGAGAGCTCACAAGGTTTTTATAGGGCATCCCAAATGCTTCCTGTGTTCATGGATAGTTTTTGAATTGCTTTAACCAATTCCTCACCTGTGCAAGCAGCACTTGGGAACACTTCTTTCTCAGAGCCCTGGAGGTCTGGGACCCATGCCTCTTCCCCTTGTTCCAGCTGCGAGATCACATCAGGTTGGGAAACTGGAAACCCTGCTCAAGGCAAAGAAAACAAGGGAGATCAGTGGAATTTGTGGGATACTTGTCACAAAGAATATTCCATGATTTTAAGCCCAGCTCATTTTTAAGCAGTAACATCCCAAGGCCAGCTTTCTTAGCTCAACCCAGGAGTTATTATTATTCTAAATCATATCCATTACCTTAATGCCTAAGGACCAACTAACAGTGGGTCCCCATTGTGCTAGGACAAGTACAAACACAGAATAGTAGATGGCCCATGCCCTGAACAATTTACTATCTCAATAGACAAGACAAACACAAAATGGGGGAAGGGGTAGAACCCTCTGTGAGAATACAGATATTCAGGCCTGCTTGTAAAGCCTATACTTTAAGAACTTAGGTGTATTTTTATCACTTAGCTAGTTACAGGGATATAAAAACAAAGAATCAAAATCTCAGTCTGCCTGTGTATGGGCCTTCTCTCACTAGGATAGACTGAGGCCTTGTTCTTCCGCTAAGCAGCGGGGGCAGCCATAAGCTGGGAAGCGTATGGTCGCATCGTCACAGCCCAAACCAGTCACACTGAAATAAGGTGGTATTGGGTTGTTAGGAAGACGATCCTGTCCAGATAGTGCCCATCACCACCAGATAAAGAAATAGATCTTAAGTCACTTAAAGAAAATTTAGTTTGATAGCATCCTATCTGGAAAGAAATCACTCATCAATGGTTGTGGTACCCTCATTTCTGTATTGTTTTGTCTTTATGACCACCACTTTTCTATTGTTAATCTGTCTGGTTCTCTGTTTGTCTCCTATATAATTAATTTTGCTAGGTGTAAGTTAATTAGGGTAATAGGATATAATAGGTTAGAGAATTATGTCACAATATGTTAGGATTGGTTAGTTATATTTCAGTAAACTGATTGGTTAAGGCATAGCTGAGAATACGACTATATAAACTGGGGTCAAACAGGAGGGGGAAGGGAAATTAGAATCAGGTTTATTAACGGGGGGAACGGGAACAGGGACGCAGGCAATACTCTGCGGCAGCAGAGCTGGGAAGGTGGACGTGGGGGAAATGCTCTGCTGCATCAGAGCTGGGAAGAGGGATGCGGGGTATATGCTCTGCTGCGTCAGAGCTGGGAATGGAACACTGGGGAACAGATTATGTGCGTATAGCGATAAGCCGACTGGTGTGAACGGCTTCGGAATATGCTTGCTTGTAAATGAACCCCAATAAACATCGCATTATCTGCCCTTCGGACTTCTGGTCTTATGTTGCTTGTGGTCTGCGTGACGAGAACCAGGGAAGTGGGAGGGTGAAGGGAAAGCCCTCTAACAAAACTGATGTGACCGGATAACCAAGAGGTAAGCCTTAGAGGAAGGTTGTAATTCCCTGATCAGTTCCAAAGTGTTTCCCACGAGGACTGATGAGGGGGTGATGGTAAATATGCATTTAGATCCTTTTCTTGTTTTATATCTTTTCCCCATAAGGCTTAACCTCTGGCCCACTGTCATAGATGCATAGCATCCGTGCAATGCCCAGGCTTTTAAACAGTCCTTGGGAGGTGCCTCTTGAGTGCACTAGACCCCCAAGGGGTCCAACTCTTTCACAAGGATAGGCCATGTAGCTTCAACACCTGAGACTGAGCCTCTGGTTTCAACACTCGTATTTCAACCCATGAACTCTGCCAGCAGGCCCAGCTGAACGACACTCCTCTTCAGAGACTGTCCCTCATTCATGCTTCAGTGCACCTCAGCAAGCTTTTGCTGTCACACTGGGCAGACTTTTAAAACATAGCAGGGTTTATTAGTCAACCGAAACACAGCATTAGAAAGTCCTTAGATGAGGACAGAGAAGCAAAGAAGACAATATAGTCCATATTGGCCCATGCTCTTGAGCCACACTGCTGTTGAAAACAGTTTTGTTTCCTTTCACTTTGCCTGTCCATTTGTCTTTGCTCCGGTAGAGCTCCTTGCGTCTGCGAGCCTAGTTCTTCCTGCTCCCAATAACATAATGAGTCCATGTATGGTTCACTTAGCCAAGCGGAGATCCTCCCATGGACAGGTGACAATTATTCCCTTGTCTCTGTCGGGTATTCCATTGACGTAGGTTGGTCCCAGCCTGTCCTTAATGACCCATTCATATCACCCCATGACAGCTATGTGACAAAACACCTCATGCCTCCTGCTCTTTATAATCATAGCAATACCAAACACAGAAGGAAACTGAGGTGCATATTGGCATCATAGAAGTATCACCAAAATTCCCACCTCTCTCTCTCTCTCTCACTCTCACACACACACACTGCTCACAGCCCTTGGAGAGAAAGGAAAGCACAGGAACTGGACATTAGTCCAGTGAACACAGTGGAGGACAAGCTGCAATCCTCAAACCCTGGCCAAAAAGGAGAGGCATGTGGGTCCCTACTCATAGAGAGGGGCTGGGTAGAGTTCTGATACCGGAGAGGGCATTCCTTGAGCAGAGCATGGAGGCAGGTCAAAGACTTAGCTACCCCAGAACTGTGATATCGCAAAAGCACATTTTGGGGAATTAGGAAATCTAATGACTCATGTGAAATGGGAGGGAGAATTAAACTCCCCCAGTGTGTGGAGAAGGTTTGGGAATTAAACACTAAAATTCAGGAGCAACAGCCTCTAATTCTTCTGGAAAAGGAGAATGTAAGAAACAAGAACTGGGCCATGCAACCTCAGGAGGGACAGGCTCGAAGATCAAAAGGAGCCTGGATGCTCGCATCTTCAGGAACTCTGGTCTGTTTGAATAGCTGCAGGAAGGGACTTAATTCCCAGACCAGAAAATAACCACTAGGGATGTTCAAATGCCTATATTTATCCTTGGGGACCCAGCCTACCTCTTAATGCCATGGCTCATGAAGCCATACACAGGCAGCCTGGACAGTAGTCAGGATCTGTTCAACTATAGGCTGAGCAAGTGCAGAATGATGGTAGAATGTGCATTTGGATGTTTAAAAGCTCACTGGCGCAGTTTACTGACTTGGTTAGACCTCAGCGAAACCAATATTCCCATTGTTATTACTGATTGCTGTGTGCTCCACAATCTCTGTGAGAGTAAGTGGGAGACGTTTATGGTGGGGTGGGAGGTTGAGGCAAATCGCTTGGCTGCTGATTATGCGCAGCCAGACACCAGGGCGGTTAGAAGAGCACAGCAGGGTGTGCTGCACATCAGAGAAGCTTTGAAAACCACTTTCATGGCTGACCAGGCTATGGTGTGGCAGTTCTGTTTGTTTCTCCTTGATGAAAACCCACCCCCTTGGTTCACTCTACTTCTCTGTAAGCCAAACGCCCTCCCCTCCCCCCTTCAATCACTGCTTGCAGAGGCAATAAAGTCATTGTTGTTTCAATTCATGCACTGTTTATTAATTTGTCACACAAATAGGGGGATAACTGCCAAGGTAGCCTGGGAGGGGTGGGGGAGGAGGGAAGCACAGAGTGGGGTGGTGGAGAAGGGGAGGAGGGACGAACAAGGCCACACTGCACTTCAAAACTTATTGAATGCCAGCTTTCTGTTGCTTGGGCAGTCCTCTGAGGTGGAGTGGTTGGGTGCCCGGAGGGCTCCCCCCGCGTTCTTGGGCTTCTGGGTGAGGAGGCTATGGTACTTGGGGAGGAGGGCGGGCAGTTACACAGCGGCTGCAGCGGCGGTCTGTGCTCCTGCTGCCTTTCCTGCAGCTCAACCACACACCGGAGCATATCAGTTTGATCCTCCAGTAGCCTCAGCATTGCCTTCTGCATCCTCTCATCATGCTGCTGCCACCTATCATCTTTGTCTCGCCACCTCTCCTCAAGTTCATTTTCTGCTTTCCTGGACTCTGCCAGTGTCTGCCTCCAGGCATACTGCTGAGCTCTTTCAGTGCGGAAGGACTGCATGAGCTCAGAGAACATTTCATCGCGAGTGCATTTTTTTCGCCTTCTTATCTGCGCTAGCCTCTGGGATGGAGATGATAGGGGGAGCATTGAAACATTTGCAGCTGCAGGAGAAAGAAAAGGGAGAGTAGTATTTAAAAAGACATTTTAGAGAACAATGGGTAGACACTTTCACGGTGAATGGTTTCAAACAGCAGCACCCTCCTTTCCCATACCAAGCGCCCATTGGATTCGTCACTTAAAAGGAGGGGCTGCGGTTTTCGGGTTAATGTGCAGCACAAACCCAACTAATTCCCCTCATCCAATTCTCTGGGATGATCGCTTCACCCCTCTTCCCCCTGTGTGACTAGTATCAGGGAAGATCTCTGCCAGCCAAATGCAAACAGCTCAGCGTGAATGGGCCCCCGCCCACCACGTGGCTAAAAGCGGGGATGATTTCTTTTCAGCCACAGGCAAACAGCCCAGCAGGAACGGCCACCTCTGACTGTCCCCTGAATAAAATTCCCCTAATTCTACCAGGTGACCATGAATGATATCACTCTCCTGAGGATAACAGAGAGAGATAAAGAACGGATGTTGCTTGAAAGCCAGCAAACACCGGGACCATATGCTGCCATGGTTTGTTACGCAATTAATCCAGACTACGTGCTACTGGCCTGGTGTGGTAAAGTGTCCTACCATGGAGAACAGAATAAGGCTGCCCTCCCCAGAAAACTTTTGCAAAGGCTTTGGGAATACATCCAGGAGAGCTTCATTGAGATGTCCCTGGAGGATTTCTGCTCCATCCCCAGACACGTTAACAGACTTTTCCAGGAGCTGTACTGGCCGCAAATGCATCCCAAATCTTCAGGGAAAATTAATCATTAAACACGTTTGCTTTTAAACCATCTATTATATGGTACACTCACCAGAGGTGCCTTCTCTGCCTTCAAGGTCTGGGAGCCCACCTTAGGACGGTATTGGATCCAGGGTGATAAACAGTTCCTGGCTGTCGGGGAGAAAGATTTCATCCTCCGTCTCATCATTATCATCTTCCTTGTCTCCAAAATCCTCATCCCTGTTGCATGAGACTCCCCCCTTGCAGGAGTCCAAGTACAGGGGTGGGGTAGTGGTAGGGGCACCACTTAGAATTGCATGCAGCTCATCATGGAAGCGGCATGTCTGGGGTTCTGACCCGGAGCAGCCATTTGCCTCTTTGGTAGCCTTGCCTGAGCTCCTTAAGTTTCATGCAGCACTGCTGCGGGTCCCTGTTATAGCCTCTGTCCTTCATGCCCGTCAAGATTTTTTCAAATATTTTGGCATTTTGTCTTTTGGAACGGAGTTCTGATAGCTCGGATTCGTCTCCCCATACAGCGATCAGATCCAGTACCTCCGGTTCGGTCCAAGCTGGAGCTCTTTTGCGATTCTGGGACTGCATGGTCACTTCTGCTGATGAGTTCTGCATGGTCACACCATGATACGCTGGCCAAACAGGAAATGAAATTCAAAAGTTCCCGGTGCTTTTCCTGTGTACCTGGCTAGTGCGTCTGAGTTGAAAGAGCTGTCCAGAGCGGTCACAATAGAGCTCTGGGATAGCTCCCAAAGGCCAATACTGTCGAATTGCATCCACACTACCCCAAATTCAACCCAGCAATGTTTATTTCAGTGCTAATTCCCTTGTCGGGGAGGAGTACAGAAAACAATTTTAAGAGCCCTTTAAGTTGACAAAAATGGCTTTGTTGTGTGGACGTGTGCAGGGTTAAATCGATCTAACGCTGCTAAATTCGACCTAAACTCGTAGCGTAGACCAGGGCTTAGAGGTGTAAACAGTGCCCATTTGTGCCTGGGTAATGGCACTGCTATGGGAGGGAGGAGTGCAGCAAGGACTCAGGAATGGTGGCCAGGGTCGCTGTGCATAGAGATGGGGAGGTTATATGGGGAGGGGGGTAATGAGTGGGAGAGGGAGGTCAGGAGTTAAAATAATATTTGGGGGGAAAAAATGTAAAAAGAAGTGAAACCAACAGAAATAAAACGAGCGAAGGCTCTAAAGCAACAAGACTTGGGTAGGGATTTGGAGTTAAAAGTCTGGGATCCCCCACAGCTCTAGATCCCAAAACATCTCCTCCTTCCCACTGACCCATGCAGCCCACTTCCTGGGTACCCTTCGTCCACACTCCCCTCCCTCTTCTTCCCATTACTCTCAGCATCACCACCTCCCAGCACCTTGGGAGCTTCTTGTGTTCCCGTCTTGTGTCTCACTACCTCTTCCCTCCCTGCTGCTTCTTAGCTGTAACTCTGCACACACCCTCGCTATTTCCTGGAACCCCAGAATTATCTACTCCCCCACTTCTCCTCCCCTTCACCTGTGGGGTCCTGAATGGCAACATTATGCGCTCTCCTATCAAAAGAGGAGCTCATCTGACGGTCACACAAGCCATGCATCAGTCATCGACCTATTTACTCAATTTAGAATTCTACAGGTGGCATATTTTCCTCTTAAAATGAGGAAAAGGCATGAAAGTTGTAGTTATGAATGTATCAAATAAGGATATATTAAATGCAATTTTAAAATAACTGACGGCACCAAAAAGGCACATGTCCAAAAATTATTCTAGTGGGTGGGAGATAAGGAAAAAAAAGGGGGGCAAGGAAACATGTATGACAAATGAAGGTATAAAGTTATTACTACTCAGGTTCTTTAAAGACCCCACAGCTTCTAATAACGGAGGGGACAGGACTCCTTACCCAGAAAGACCACCGTCTCATAGTTCTCCTGCATGACATCCCTGTAAAGGGCTCTCTGAGTGGGGTCGAGCAGAGCCTCCTCTTCCCTGGTGAAATACACAGCCACCTCCTCGAAAGTCACTGGCCCCTGAAAGAGCAAGAGTCCAACGTTCAGTATCTGCTGCCCCAGTCACAACCCCATTATTCATGGAACAGCAGCACCAGGTAAATGGAAGCTCCACGAGGCACAGAGTTCCATCCCACTTTGCTTAGAGCAGCCTGGAGCCATCGGAGGGTAGAAAGAGAGAACCTTTGTGTCTTCCAGCTGACAGACGGAGGCAGGGTCTTCACATTTATCACATACCTACTAGCCAGAGCTTGATATAGGAGATGGGGCTGTCTCTGGACCCTGCTGGTGGCTCTCTGGTAGGAATCCTAACACACGCCAAATAAAATATATGGAAGAAAGAGGAAGTCAATAGTAAAGAATATAAGTGAGGTCAGAATTGTAGAAAATTGATAAGGGAAGCTATCAAAAATCAATAACCAATCAATGAAAATAAGAAGGAAGTTTTTAAAAGTATATTAAGTACAAAATTAATCCTAACAATGGTAGTGGTAAATTACTAGGTGGAAATGGCAGAATTATCAAAAATAATACAGAAGAGGTAAAAGTGTTCAATAAATATTTCCCTCCTAGATTTGGAGAAAAACAGATGATGTACTCATATCATAAGATGTTGATGACGACGACACTCTTTCCATTCCAACAAGAACTCACGAGGACGTGAAACAGCAGCTATTAAAGCTAGACATGTTTAAATGAGCATGTCCAGATAACTGGTATCCAAGAGTTTTAAAAGGTCGACTGTTAATGTTGATTTTAATTAGAACTTGGAACACTGGGGAAATTCCAGAAGACTGGAATAAAGATAATGCTGTGCCAATATTTAGAAGGTGTAAAAGAGATGACCCAGTTAACTACAGGAGTGTCAGTCTGACATCGATACTGGACAACATAATGGAGCAGCTGATACTGGATTTTATTAATAAAGAATTAAAGGAGAGTAATATAATTAGTACCCATGAACAAAGGTTTAGAGAAAACAGATCCTATCAAACTAACTGGATATCCTTATTGGATGAGATCAAAAGTCTGGTTGCAATAAATAGTATTGATGTAATATACCTAGAATTCTGTAAGGCATATGACCTGGTTCAGCACAATATTTTGACTAGAAAACTAGAATGATACTAAATAAACACGGCATTCATTAAATAGATTAAAAATTGTGCCTTGAAATTAGGCCCTATCGGACACTACACCCCATATTCAGCAAAGTGATAGGATTATAATATGATTGGGACATAATTATGATGCAATTTGTGCAAGATGCATCATGTGCTGTGTCATTGGAAAAGTTATAATTTGCTGAATATGATGATCCTATTTTTTGAATAGATCATGTTTGTACTGAAGTTATGGATATTGACTATGTATCTGCATTTGAAATGTGCTTACTCTGGGTAACACTCACAACTAGCCTTTCAGGTACAACAATGAAGAAGCCAGACAGTGCTGATGGCTCATCAACAAAGACAACGGACCGTGGAAGAGCTTAGCACTCAGCAGGGCATGCTACAGCATGTGACCAGACCACATGACAATGAACTCCATTTTGCTACCTGTATTTTTCCACAAACTGAACTGGGAACTGAGTTTGGAACAAAGGGTTCCCGCCATGTGGAAAAGCTACATAAGGTGGGTTGTGACATCATCTCATGGCCTCATTCCCCACACAAGAGAACTCCTGGAAACACCTGAGAAACAAAGACTGAACTGGGGGAAGTGCTGGTGCCAGGGTAGAAGGATTTCTAGCTTGTGTATGAATCCTAGAATATCAGGGTTGGAAGGGACCTCAGGAGGTCATCTAGTCCAACCCCCTGCTCAAAAGCAGGACCCATCCCCAATTAAATCATCCCAGCCAGGGCTTTGTCAAGCCTGACCTTAAAAGCTTCTAAGGAAGGAGATTCTACCACCTCCCTAGGTAACGCATTCCAGTGTTTCACCACCCTCCTAGTGAAAAAGTTTTTCCTAATATCCAACCTTGGATGGAAACTTGCTGGACTGCTTGTATCATCAGTCAGGGTGAGAAATTGCTAACTCAAATTCTATCCATCTAGCGTGTAAGGCTTAGTCTGAGTTTTTGGTTATTTCCTAAGTAATCTGCTTTGATCTGCTTGCTATCTCTTATAATTGTTGGGATATGTTAAGGGTTAAGTAAAAGAGCTGGGAAGCTGCTAACGTGCTGACATGGCATTAGGGGACAAAGGGATAAGCAAGCAGTAATTCTTTGCTTAAATAAATAATTAAGTAAGTAATAAATAAATAAGTTGCCATAATTTTCCTTTCCCTGTTGCTTGTAAGAATTGATAAGGATGCAGCTGCATGAGAAATGAAGTTGTCGGAATGAACGTCCTCTGTGTGAAAAAGATAAAAGAAATGTTATTTCCCCCTCCCTTCCTTTCCCAGATACATAAACAAGCCCTGACTTATGGCCCCTTCCTCCCTATGCTGAGAACAGCTGATTAGGGAAATTTGTAGCAACACATTATTGCAAAGAACTGCATTTTCAAGGTAAAAATGCCTCTATGACATGCCTAATGCTGTGAATAATAGCAATAGGGGCAGATATACTAACAGTATGGGTGTTTATTACTTAATAAGGGGTTTTGGGGTGTTGTAATGGATGTAGGCGTGTACATACTAACTTAGATAAAAGGAGTGTGATGTAACTAATGCAGTGCTTACTCGACAATTGGGTCGAGGGGAACAAGTATCGCAATAAAGAAGCTTGTACTCATATCCGCCTCTGGGTCAACCTGCTCCTTTTTTCTTCTAGCAATAATCACTTAAAATCTATCTTTCTGCAGTTAATAAACTTGTTTAATGCTTTATCTTAACCAGTATTAAATATTTTGAGTGAATTGTCTGGGGAAAATCTCAGCTTGGTTAGCATAAGCTTGTTGTGCATATCTTTCCCATATCAAGGGGAAGGCAAACTATATTAATGAGCTTACATTATAGAGATCCCTGTGCACTATACGATGGTATAATTCTGGATTTATACTACAGCAAGTGTGAAAGGTTGGGGAGCTGGAAAATGGGCTGTTGTCTTCTATCTGTCCTTGAGTGGTTTAGGTAAAGCACTCAGGTAGCTGAGTTGGGTGTATGGCGCCACCTGCTGTAGTTTTTTGTGTTAACAGGCCCTGGAGAGGCTGGCTGAATCTCCAGCAAAGCAGTGTGAGAAGGACCAGCCCAGCTTGAGGGTTAGAGGGCACAGCGGTTCCCAGAAGCCCCCCAGACTGCACCCCGGGGGTGACAACCCATTATATCCTAAATTACACAAGTCTCAGCAGGTTTGTCACATCCTGTCCCCTCCCTTTCTCCACCCTAGATATTTCCTGCCTCCCACCATCTCTAGCAGCTACCACCTTCCTATGCTTGTACTGCTCCTCTCCCTCCAAGCAGAACCCACCACCAGCAACCTGATAATCTCTTACCTGAGACAGCTCCATTGCAGCCATTTCCTTCCCTCTGGGAGAATGGGATGATCTGGAGCAAAACGTAGATGTTATTCTGTAGCCTGACAGGAAGAGAAGGACAATGTGAGAGAATTCAGATGGGGCTTTCGTCCATTCCACATGCCGACTCCCCCCAGGATTTTTCCCTGCTAATGGACATCCTAGGTTCTGCCAAACTGTGAAGCACAGAGTGACCTTATTCCAGTACAGGTCTAGCCCCCTCCCACCAGGGTGTAACCCTCTGAGACAGGGTGAAACCCTCCCAGTAACAGAGTCTCTGTTACACTTATCAAGTTTGCGGACAATACCAAGCTGGGAGGGGTTGCAAGTGCTTTGGAGGATAGGATTGAAATTCAAAATGATCTGGAAAAACTGTAGAAATGGTCTGAAGTAAAGAGGATGAAATTCAATAAGGACAAATGCTAAGTACTCCACTTCGGAAGGAACAATCAGTTGCACACATACAAAATGGGAAATGACTGCCTAGGAAGGAGTACTGCAGAAAGGGATCTGGAGGTCATAGTGGATCACAAGCTAAATATAAGTCAACAGTATAACACTGTTGCAAAAAAAGGAATCATCATTCTGGGATGTATTAGCAGGAGTATTGTAAGCAAGACATGAGAAGTAATTCTTCTGCTCTTCTCCTCACGGCTTAGGCCTCAACTGGAGTATTGTGTCCAGTTCTGGGTGCCACATTTCAGGAAAGATGTGGACAAATTGCAGAAAGTCCAGAGAAGAGCAACAAAAATGATTAAAGGTCTAAAAAACATGACCTATGAGGGAAGATTGAAAAAATTGCATTTGTTTAGTCTGGAGAAGAGAAGACAGAGGGGACATGATCACAGTTTTCAAGTACATAAAAGGTTACAAGGAGGAGGAAGAAAAATTGTTCTTCTTCACCTCTGAGGATAGGACAAGAAGCAATGGGCTTAACTTGCAGCAAGGGCGGTTTAGGTTGAACATTAGGAAAAACTTCCTCTCAGAATGTTTAAGCACTGGAATAAATTGCCTATGGAGGCTGTGGAATCTCCATCATTGGGGATTTTTAAGAGCAGGCTGGACAAACACCTGTCAGGGATGGTCTAGATAATAATTGCCTTGAGTGCAGGGGACTGGACTAGATGACCTCTGAAGGTCCCTTCCAGTTCCATCATTCTGTGAACTAAAGGCCAGAGAAGAATGGAATCCAAGGGGTCACTTTGTGGGATTCTCCCTGTCATTTTCTCCAAGGCAGCTGTCTTAAGTTTACATAGTTGTTTGATGCTCCAGCATTTATACAGTCTCTTCTTGGAGTGCCCCCTTTCATGGTCTGGGCCTAGCTTTAGCTTTTGGCAAGAGTGAGCCTGGGGGCTCTGAGACTGGGCCTTCTTGCCTCAGCACACCTTGTTTCCTTCTGTGGCTCCCCAGTGAGACCAAATGAGTAGATACTCCTGATAGAGACTGTGAACATAAGAACAGCCCACTGTGTCAGACCAATGGTCCATCTAGCTCAGTGGCCAATGCCAGGTGCTTCAGAGGGAATGAACGGAACAGGTAATCATCAAGTGATCCATCCCCTGTCACCCATTCCCAGCTTCTGGCAAACAGAGGCTAGAAACACCATCCCTGCCCGTGACACTGGAGATGAGGTGTTAGCTCTTGCACAAAGCCCCCATATCTTAATTGAACATGGACAAACGCAGAGCTGGAATCAGTCTGGCTCACTTGTGTTAGTATTGTTAAAACAGGTATGAGAATTATAAGAATGTGTTTAGACATTATTGAATGCTTGTGAGCCGCTACCTGGGTTAATATCTGACTAGTTGCATTGCTTAGCCTAGGTTAGTCCTAAAGGATATGTAGAGCTTGCTTATTATAGAAGCTTCTATTACCTTTTGAAATTTAAACTGTAACTCTTCTACATCTCTATGATGACCTGCTTTAACTTTGTAAACAACTCGTTTCCTTTTAAATTAATTTTAATACAGGTTATTACACGACTGGATACAAGTGTTGTCTTGGTTGTGATGTCTAAGATTCAACTGACCTAAATAAGTGACTGATCCTTTGGGACTGGCAGTAACCTGAACATTGCTGTGATTCGTGGTGTAAGGCAGTGGTTCTTAACAAGGAGTCTGGGGCCCCCTGGGAGGCCATGAGCAGGTTCCAGGGAGGCTGCCAAGCAAGGCCAGCATTAGACTTGCTGCGGTCGAGAGCAGAAAGTTGAAGTCCCAGTGCATGGGGCTGAAGTCCATGGTCCTTAGCCCCACCACCCGGGGCTGAAGCCAAAGTCTAAGCAATGTAGCTTTGTGGGGGCTCCTGTGGCATGGGGCCTCACACAGTTGCCCTGCTTGCTACCCCCTAACGCCAGCCCTAGCTTTTATATTGAGAAAACCAGTCATTGTGGCCCAGGTGGGCGGTGGAGTTTTAATAGCATGTTGGGGAGGACTCAGAAAGAAAAAGTTGAGAACTCCTGGTGGAAGGGACCATCTGTCACAAAGGTGAGCTCACCTGCGTGGTGAGATCTATGGGATGGCCCAAGGGGACTGTCTGTGATTCCATGTTAATGCTGTTACAGTGTATGAAGCGTTTATACTTCATATTTGGTTGGTGAAATCTACATATCGACCTCACAACCAATCTGGGGTTTGTGCCCTGCTTCTTACCAGTCTGCCTGAGGCTGGTGCTCATGCTCTCGAGTCACTGAAGACAGCGTTACAGAGACTTACGGGCGCAACGCCACCAGCAGCAATTGGCAGCCATGCAGAGCAGGCTTCACAGTGGCACCGTGTGGGCCAAATGGTCCATGGACTCCACCAAGCCCCAGTTCTCCTCCAGTGTACATCAGCATCCCGGCAACCTTCAAGGAGGGTCAAGGCTGCCACTCCCTCAGTGATGATGGATCTCCAGCATAGCATCATCCGCACCTCATGACCCGCCTTATCTCCTGAGACACAGGTGAGTGACAGAGGGTGCACAACGGATCCTGGGGGGGGGATACCAAAACACACCTTCTGGGGGTCACCCCTCAGGAAATGAAGGTGACAGCCATTGTGGTGGCAGTAAACAGGGAGAGGAGGGAGTGGGAGCGGGAGCAGGAGGGAGCAGCACCCTCAAAGGCAATGCTGCCAGTGAGTCACCCCATCACATCAGGCATGGGGCTGATAGGGGGCCATTCCCTAGGCCTGGGTGCCTGTGAAGGGCTATATAAACCCCACACTGGCATAGAAGGGGTTAAACTGCTGCTTTAGGCTGGACTGGCCCAGCTCCTCCAGGACTGGAGCAGGAGTTAACAGGAGAGACCTACTCAGAGGGGGACAACCCTGGGAAGGCAACAGTCTGCGGAGCATCTCCAGCCCCAAAGAAAGGGCTGGCAGCATTCAGGGCTCTGGCCTTCACTGAGGGAGGGTGGGGATCTCCGGAGCTCAAAGGGGGAGCAGGCTGAAAATTGCACTGGAGACCCAGTAAACTCTGAAGGGGACTGAGATGCTCCCAGGGCCCCCAGAAGTAAGAGGGGCCCATATCCTGATGGAATCTGTCCACAGTTCCCCCCCCCCCCCCCCGGTTTCTTTACTTTCATTCCTTTATTTACCGACAGTCGGCTCTTTTGCTGGTACCCAAGAGAGGAAGAAAATGCCCCAAGGTATCATACAGAGTGTGGAGCCCTGACACACTACAAGGACATGCCCCTGTAGCACCCTGGGGCAGGGGTCATTTGGACTCACAGAGGTGCACCCCAGAAGGCCTGAGGTCCAGCACTCTGGCACCAGTTTGATGGGCTGGATGGCCTCTCACTGCGGGCTGCCAGAAGTCTGGCACATGGAGTAGATACAGGGTGTCCTGGGGAGCAGGAAGCGGGGCAGCATCCCAGACAGCACACTAAGAAGGGAAATGGAGAGGGGACAAGGGGCACTGCAGAGAACTCAGCCCCCGTCCTGAAGGCCATTGACAGAAAGTTGTCCTCTCCCTGGCCTACGGAGGGCAGACAGTGACACAGAGATCCCTTGGCAAAGGGTCACTTGGTCTTTGCCAGCAGCTCTCACCGGAGACCTCACAAACCCATCACACCAAACATCTCTTGGAGGGTATTTATCCACAGGGGAGAGCATGCGAGGTTGTGATAAAGTGGGGATTTATTAATCTTGTTATGTTGCATGTGAGTCTTACTGTCCTATACTAATCCTGTGTGTACCTCAGTTTCCCAGTGTACTGCACCAATACTTCTGTGGTGGGAATTGGGGGGAACTGGAAGAGGGGGAGTCCAGGGCGTCTGGCCGAGGACTCCCAAGATGGACTCGGCTGAAAGTCACTGATTTCTGTGACAAGTATCAGGGGGTAGCCGTATTAGTCTGTAGCCACAAAAACAAGGAGTCCTGTGGCACTTTAAAGACTAACAGATTTATTTGACCGGACTCCTTGTTGTTTTTACTGATTTCTGTGATAGCAAGCTCTGTTCCTTCTGTTTTACCGGCTGGCTGAGAGTCACGCCTGACTGCGGAGTTGGGGTGTAGGGCTCTCTGGCTTCCCCAGGAGCCCCATCCTGGTGGACTCACTGCAGGAAGCCCATGGTGTGCAAGGGGATGCTCAATGCTCCGAGGTCAGACTCAGGAAGGTCGAAGCTGTGTAAGCTCCTGACCTGGAGATAGTCTGCTCAGAGAGAGGAGGCACCCCCAGAGTCCTGACTGGCTTCATACGGAGTAGTTCCAGAGCATTGACCCGGTGACTGTGACAGAGGCATTTACAAAAAGCTCATTACTGATTAAGACTCATAATGACTAAGAGGTCAACATATCTGTCGTTTGTAAGGAACAAAGCATTTATATTGAAAATCTACTTTATGGACTTGGAATGGAAAAATCAATCACTGAGAGGTAATGGGCCCCAGGACTGGCCCATCCACCCAAGAGGGAGTCGTCACCAATGTTCCCTCTAATTTTTTCCATCCATTTGCGGAATGAATTTTGTTATGTGCTCCACCAATATTGAGGTAATGGTTGGATGTGAGCCACCAGTACAAACAAAAACCCTAGATATGATATATATTTTTTAAACAGCTCCTAGGTATGGAAGAAGAAGAAAGAATATTAAAACAAGGGATAATTATCAAGGTGCACTGCTTAAGATGTGTATTTAATATGAAATCAAATAAAAAGAAAATTGACACTGCCCTTGGAGTACATGTATTTTATCATCCTTTCTAACAACTCAAGCTAGTAAACACACCAAAATGTGGCCTACTGAAAACAGCTATAGAAATAAAACACAGTCTTGGGCATTAAGCAAAAGTATTAAAAATATGCACCAGAGGCCCAATTTAATAACCTCCTCCTACCACAGACCACTAAATCTTCAGGGAAAACTGCTCTCAAAAAATGAAGCATCTGCCAAAACACTAGCATGCTACCGACTTTTGCAGTTCCCCAAACTATCCCTCTTGCATGCATATTATCTGCGCACACAGCCCAGCTTTAAGATACTAAACAAATCTATGAGTCAACTAGAAATAGTCATGGTCTCATTGCAAATGTTAATACAATATTGTCTGATACTGGAAAGGAGAGCAGAAGGTATTCACTCAGGCTTATACCATTTCTATGGGATGTCAATTCTTAATTGGATGAATACTGCACACACGGAACAGTAAAAATAAGTAATAAAGCAACACAAACAGCAAACAAAACCCCAAACAAACGACAACACTGAAAATATGAAGGGAAGTAAAACATCAACTGGCTGGTGATGGGTATTTTAAATGAGTGGTTAGGACCCACGCTGTGCAAGTGCAACAGAGCCCTGTAGAAACAGGCAAAGTTCTCCTGTTTTCACATTGTGTGTGTGTGTCACCAACTCAAAAACTTCAGAGTAGAAGCCCTGGAACACATTAACAGATGGCTTTGGAGTTTGCAGACAGATCCCTGCTTCAAAGAGCTTGTAAAAAAGGGCTTCATCCTACAAAACACCTAGCACCACACCTAGTGCTTTGCTACTTCCGAGTCAAGCCGGAACAACATCAGATAGCAAAGATCTGGCCTTAATGGTTTCCAATACCTCTCCCTAAACAAATTCTAAAACTTAATGGAAATCACTTGTCTGGAATCCAATTCTAATTGAAAGGCCAAACAAATAAAACTGGAAGAACTTTACCATGGATGCTGCTTAATTATCTACCATGTATTAATTAGTAACAGGATATTTTTAAAAAAATCATTAAGGTCACAGTTTTCAGATACCCTACAACACGCCAAAAGAATTATGTTGTTAAAAGAATCCTTGTCTCTCTTACCTTAAGCCATCTATAAGGTGCCACAGGACTCTCTCCTGCTTTTACAGATAGAGACTAACATGGCTATCCCTCTGATACTTGACACCATGCAAGGCACTGTATTTAGCCGTATGAAGTGGAAATCCATCAACCTCATGAAGAAACTTGCACAAGTACAGACAGATATCTTTCTTTCCAAAAGCAAACGGATGGACATCATACCAAATCTACATACCACACAGACCACAGTGAGAGATTATGCCATACTCTATCAAAGAAACTGAGGAACCACCTGATCAGCATCCTATACAGCAAACAGGAAAACATCCAAAAAGAGCTCTCCAACCTGGAGACTCTCATAAATAACCAACCTTCCATACAAACAGACTTTATTAAAATAAGACAGGAGATCTACATTACACACGTCACCTCTCTACAAAGGAAAAAGGACTGTAATATTGCTGTCACCCAGCAATATTGTCAATCTATCCAGCTACACACTCAGCCCGGCGGAAGAGTCTGTCCTATCTCAGGGACTCTCTTTCTGCCCTGCCACCCCCACAAACATGATACAGTTCTGCGGTGATCTGAAAGCCTACTTTCGCCGTCTCCAACTCAAAGAATACTTTCAAGATAACACTGAACAGCTCACTGATACACAGATACCCTCCCACCAACAGCACAAGAAGAACTCCACATGGACTCCTCCTGAGGGTCGAAATGATAGTCTGGACCTATACATAGAATGCTTCCGCCGATGTGCACAGGCAGAAATTGTGGAAAAACAACACCGCTTGCCTCATAATCTAAGTCGTGCAGAATGCAATGCCATCCACAGCCTTAGAAACAACCCTGACATTATAATCAAAGAGGCTGATAAAGGAGGTGCTGTTGTTACATGAACAGATCTGACTACCAAAAGGAGGCTGCTAGACAACTCTCCAATACCAAATTCTACAGGCCACTTTCCTCAGATCCCACTGAGGAATACACTAGGAAACTGCACCATCTACTCAGGACACTCCCTACGCTAACACAGGAACAAATCAACATACCCTTAGAGCCCCAACCAGGGTTATTCTATCTACTACCCAAGATCCTCAAACCCGGAAACCCTGGACGCCCCATCATCTCGGGCATTGGCACTCTCACTGAAGGACTGTCCGGATATGTGGACTCTCTACTCAGACCCTACGCCACCAGCACTCCTAGCTATCTCAATTTCACCACTGATTTCCTGAGAAAACTTACAATGCACTGGCGATCTTCTAAAAAACACCATCCTAGCCACCATGGACATCGAGGCTCCCTACACAAACATCCCACACACAGATGGAATACTAGCTGTCAGGAACAGTATCCCTGATGATGCCACAGCACAACTGGTTGCTGAGCTCTGTAACTTTATCCTCACGCACAATTATTTCAAATTTGGTAACAATATATTCCTCCAGACCAGTGGCTCCGCTATGGGAACCCGCATGGCCCCACAATATGCCAACATTTTTATGGCTGACCTGGAACATTGCTTCCTCAGCTCTCATCCACTCACGCCCCTTCTCTACCTACGTTACATTGATGACATCTTCATCATCTGGACCCATGAGAAGGAAACCCTGGAAGAACTCCACCATGATTTCAACAGCTTCCACCCCACCATCAGCCTCAGCCTGGACCAATCTACAAGGGAGGTCCACTTCCTAGACACCACGGTGCAAATAAGTGACTGTCACGTTAACACCACCCTATACCAAAAACCCACTGACTGCTATGCCTACCTTTATGCCTCCAGATTCCATCCCGGACACACCACACGATCCACTGTCTATAGCCAAGCGCTGATGTACAACCGCATTTGCTCCAACCCCTCAGACAAAGACCAACACCTACAAGATCTTCACCAAGCATTCTCAAAACTACTATACCCACACGAGGAAATAAGGAAACAGATCAACAGAGCCAGACGTGTACCCAGAAGCCTCCTGCTGCAAGACAAGCCCAAGAAAGAAACCAACAGAACTCCACTGGCCATCACATACAGTCCTCAGCTAAAACCTCTCCAACACATCATCAGTGATCTACAACCCATCCTGGAAAACAATCCCTTACTTTCACAGGCCTTGGGAGGCAGGCCAGTCCTTGCCCACAGACAACCCGCCAACCTGACGCATATTCTCACCAGCAATGACACACCGCACCATAGTAAATCTAACTCAGGAACCAATCCATGCAACAAACCTCGATGCCAACTCTGCCCACATATCTACACCAGCGACACCATCACAGGACCTAACCAGATCAGCCACACCGTCACCGGCTCATTCACCTGCATGTCCACCAATGTTATATACGCCATCATGTGCCAGCAATGCCCCTCTGCTATGTACATCAGTCAAACTGGACAGTCTCTATGTAAAAGGATAAATGGACACAAATCAGCTATTAGGAATGGCAATATATAAAAACGTGTAGGAGAACACTTCAACCTCCCTGGACACTCAATAGCAGATTTAAAGGTAGCCATCCTGCAGCAAAAAAACTTCAGGACCAGACTTCAAAGAGAAACTGCTGAGCTTCAGTTCATTTGCAAATTTGACACCATCAGCTCAGGATTAAACAAAGATTGTGAATGGCTACCCAACGACAAAACCAGTTTCTCCTCTCTTGGTGTTCACACCTCAACTGCTAGAAGAGGGCCTCATCCTCCCTGATTGAGCTAACCTCATTATCCCTAGCCTGATTCTTGCTTGCATATTTATGCCTGCCACCCCCAAAAGCTCATGGAATTGGAAAAGGTTCAGAAAAGGGCAACAAAAATGATTAGGGGTATGGAACAGTTATGCCAGACCTAACCCCCAGTTTTACTTGAGCGAACAGGAGATATTTGACTCTGCGATACTGCTCCTGTGCTCTGTTCCCAAAGTGTTCTGGAGCAGGGGAGGGTCTCTGGTCGTGTGTGTCTCACTGGCATATTGGGGTGATGCTGAAACAGGACAGAGTAGAGATGGCATTGTAGGGATGGTATGAACCTCATCTCTTCAGTTCCCCTTCCAAGAACAGAGGGGACAGGAATCCTTACCCAGTGTGGTCACATTCTCATAGTTCTCCTGCATGACATCCCTGAAGAGGGCTCTCTGAGCGGGGTCCAGCAGAGCCCATTCTTCCCTGGTGAAATACACAGCCACCTCCTCGAAGGTCACCGGCCCCTGAAAGAGCAAGAGTCCAACACTCGGTACCTGTTTCCCCACTCACAGCCCCACTATTTGTGGGGGAGAGGAGCCAATCAAATGGAGCTCTAGGTGCATTGCAGTCAACAGAGTCCCACCCCCACCCCGCTCAGAGCATCCAGGAAACACCAGGGTGAGGGGACGAAGAGAGAGCCCCTCCTCTCTCCCAGCAGATCCATCACACACCTACTAGACACAGACTGATACAGGAGATGGAGCCCTTAGCAGGGTCCAGGGAGAGCTTCCTGGTCGGAAGCCCAATACCCTCCTCATTGTGAGGAGCTGGATATGAAGGGAGGGGCAGCTCCAATATGCCTGACAGGTGGGTGCCCCCTTCATATCTCACAGCACTCGCTGGTTAGTTGGATCAGGCTCCAGCACTATGAGCCAGTTTTCCTAGCTCCATCTAGGTGGGTTATTTTCTGTTTCACAAATCAGGGCATTTCCACCTCCGAACCTCATGGGTCTGTTCCTAGAATCTACGCCACTTATTAAACAACTCCCAGCAGCTTTGCCACCCCCTGTCCTCCTCCCTTTCTCCACCCTGTGCATTTCCTGCTCCGCTCCAACCTCCAAACCAGATGGTGCAAACCTTCCCATCTCCGGCGAATTTGCTGTCCCTCTTACTCCTGCAGGAGCCCACCAGCAACCCCCCGATAATCCCTACCTGAACTGGCTCCTCTGCAGCCATTTCTCTTCCCTGTTCCAAGGGAGGATGGGATGAGCTGGAGAGAAACATGCACGTCATTCTGCAGCCTGGGAGGGTGAGAAGGGCAGTTGTGGGGGTTTCAGAACAGGCTTCCGTTAATTTCACATCAGAATTCCCCCAGGCCTTTCCCTGCAGACAGACACCCTAGATTCTGCCATGTTGGAAAAATGCTTGATCTGTTTATTACAGCGCAGACCTGGTCCCTCCTGCCAGGCTAAGCCCACAGAGAGATTTTTAACCTCCTTTCTCCCTCGTCCCCTCACTCTGTGCACTGGGCATGACAGTGATCCCAGGAGTCTGCAGGGGAAGCCCAGACAGAGCCCCTGGCACAGCACCAGGCACCCTCTAACCCACTGCCCCCCCAGCTTCCCCAAGAGACCCCCCACCCCCACTCTTCTGCAGCCAACAGGCCCCCAGTGATACCCACTTCCAGGACCCATAGCCTCAGGGCTGTGCACATCAGAACCATCCCCTGAAACCCCAAACCTCCAGAACCCACCAACCTGACTAGGGTAACCCCTGCCCAGTCACCCAGAGGCCTCCCTCTTCAGCTCCAGCTGCAATCCCCTCCCCACCCAACAGTGTTACCTCACAGTGTTTGATAAGTGGATAGAAAGTTATCACCGCCCCCTGCTGGCCATTCAGACAGGCAGAGGGAGCCCTGGGGGATGCTTCTTTAACAGGAGAATGGAAGGCCTGGAGGGCCAAAACAGGTAAGAAATTTCCATGCCCTGTCACCAGCAAATAATGGCCACCATGGATCCACCCCAGAGGTGGCTACATCTTAACACATTGGGAAGCAACCCCTCATATTAAATTAGAAATAGACAACTAGAGAGAAGTGGGGCAAATGTTTGGGGTATTTTATATCAATCTTTGAGATTTGCAGAGAAAACGTGTCACAAACTACGTATTTGATAACATGAGAGAAAAACACCAAGATCTGAGGGGATTTTATATTGCTATTAAATAACTAAAGGGAAAAGGGGGACGGTTTGACTGGATTTTATATGACAGTCCAATACATAAACACAAAGTGATGGTTCCTCCCACTGCCACCATTCACATGGGCAGAAGGGATCCCTTTCAGGAGCTGCTTTAAGAGGGCAAGGGAGAGGGAGCTAGAAGGCTCCCTGGACAAAGGAAGGGGGTTGCAGCAGGGGATGGACAGGTGACTGGCAACTGAGGGCTGGGGGCAACTGTGTTGGGAGTTTGGGGGCAGCAGGTGGGATTGGGAAACGGGGTCCGGGCAGACTCCATGGGGGACACGTGCAACTCCCTTCCCTGCCCTTGCAGAGAACGGGCATCTCATCCCATCCCCACTCCATGGGCAGCCAGGTTTTGGGGAATGACTCCGGGCAACAATTTCCCACCTACACAAGGACAAATCGCTGCAGATAAAACGGGTGGGAAAACCTGCCACATCAGAGAGATTTTAAATTGACATTTGAGAATTATGGAGCGAACAGGACAAAATGGGGGGAGATTAGAGAGCTGATCATTTGGGGGCAAATCTTCCTGGATTTTATAGCCACAGGTGATAATGAGAGAGAAAAGGGGAAAAACTTGAGAGAGAATTTGTATGTGGGAGGAAGTGGCACAAACAGGGAAAGGATCCAATTAACTCACCTCCCCCCTTCCCCTGCCCACCACTTCTCCCCTGGGAATTTCCAAGCTGCACAGACACAGTTCAACCCCTCTCTTCCCGCCCCAATGACCTTCCCCTCCCTGCAACTCCTGCTTCTCCCCTCCCCTCCCTTCCATTCTTGACACCTTCCCCCACACCAAAGGGGACACCCTCTGCCAGTGCCTCACCAGGAGCTTAACTCCCGCTCCTCCCCCCAGCCCTGATTTTACCTCTCAGCCCCTCTCCTAATCCTGCCTCCAGCTGCTTGACCCCCTTGACCAGTCAATTTCCGCCCCCTGATCAGACCCTGACCACCCCCCTCCTGCTCAACTCAGGCCACAGAATCTCACCCACCCATTCCTGTAACAACCCCCTAACTTATGTCTGAGCTATTGAAGTCCTCAAATCATGGTTTAAAGACTTCAAGGTGCAGAGAATCCTCCAGCAAGTGACCTGTGCCCCACGCTGCAGAAGGAGGCAAAAAAGCCCCAGGGCCTCTGCCAATCTGCCCTGGAGGAAAATTCCTTCCTGACCTCAAATATGGCAATCAGCTAAACCCTGAGCATGTGGGCAAGACTCACCAGCCAGATATCCAGGAAAGAATTCTCTGTACTAACTCAGATCCCACCCCATCTAACATCCCATCACAGGCCATTGGTTATATCTACTGCTAATAGTCGAAGATCAATTAATTGCCAAAATTAGGCTATCCCATCATATCATCTCCTCCATAAACTTATCAAGCTTAGTCTTGAAGCCAGATATGTCTTTTGCCCCCCCTGCTTCCCTTGGAAGGCTGTTCCAGAACTTCACTCCTCTGATGGTTAGAAACCTTTGCCTAATTTCAAGTCTAAACTTCCTGATGGCCAGTTTATATCCATTTGTTCTTGTGTCCACATTGGTACTGAGCTTAAATAATTCCTCTCCCTCTCTGGTATTTATCCCTCTGATATATTTATAGAGAGCAATCATATCTCCCCTCAACATTCTTTTAGTTAGGCTAAACAAGGCAAGCTCCTTGAGTCTCCTTTCATAAGACAGATTTTTTCATTCCTCGGATCATCCTAGGAGCCCTTCTCTGTATTTGTTCCAGTTTGAATTTATCCTTCTTAACCATGGGAGACCAGAACGGCACACAGTATTCCAGATGAGGTCTCACCAGTGCCTTGTATAACGGTACTAAAACCTCCTTATCCCTACTGGAAATACCTCTCCTGATGCATCCCAAGACCGCATTAGCTTTTTTCACGGCCATATCACATTGACGGCTCATAGTCATCCTGTGGTCAACCAATACTCCAAGGTCCTTCTCCTCCTCCATTACTTCTAATTGATGCTTCCCCAGCTTATAACTAAAATTCTTGTTATTAATTCCTAAACGCATAACCTTACACTTCTCACTATTAAATTTCATCCTATTATTATTACTCCAGTTTACAAGGTCACCCAGATCCTCCTGTATGATATCCTGGTCCTTCTCTAAATTGGCAATACCTCTCAGCTTTGTATCATCCGCAAACTTTATTAGCACACTCCCACTTTTTGTGCCGAGGTCAGTGATAAAAAGATTAAATAAGATTGGTCCCAAAACTGATCCTTGAGGAACTCCACTGGTAACCTCCCTCCAGCCTGACAGTTCATCTTTCAGTAGGACCCGCTGTAGTCTCCCCTTTAACCAATTCCTTATCCATCCACCTTTCAATTTTCATATTGATCCCCATCTTTTCCAATTTAACTAATAATTCCCCATGTGGCACTGTATCAAACGCCTTACTGAAATTTAGGGAAATTAGATCCACTGCGTTTCCTTTGTCTAAAAAATCCGTTACTTTCTCAAAGAAGGAGATCAGGTTGGTCTGACATGATCTACCTTTTGTAAAACCATGTTGTATTTTGTCCCATTTACCATTGACCTCAATGTCCTTATCTACTTTCTCCTTCAAAATTTTTTCCAAGACCTCGCGTACTACAGATGTCAAACTAACAGGCCTATCGTTACCCGGATCACTTTTTTTACCTTTCTGAAAAATAGGAACTATGTTAGCAATTCTCCAGTCATACGGTACAACCCCTGAGTTTACAGATTCATTCATTAAAAATTCTTGCTAATGGGCTTGCAATTTCATGTGCCAATTCGTTTAATATTCTTGGATGAAGATTATCTGGGCCACCCGATTTAGTCCCATTCAGCTATTTGAGTTTCGCTTCTACCTCAGATATGGTAATAACTACCTCCATATCCTCGTTCCCCTTTATCATCCTACCATTATCCCTAAGCTCCTCATTAGCCTCATTAAAGACTGAGGCAAAGTATTTGTTTAGATATTGGGCCATGCCTAGATTATCCTTAACTTCCACTCCATCCTCAGTGTTTAGCGGTCCCACTTCTTCTTTCTTTGTTTTCTTCTTATTTATATGGCTATAGAATCTTTTACTATTGGTTTTAATTCCCTTTGCAAGGTCCAATTCTATTTGACTTTCAGCCTCTCTCACTTTATCCCTACATGTTCTGACCTCAATAAGGTAGCTTTCCTTGCTGATCCCTCCCATCTTCCACTCCCTGTATGCTTTCTGCTTTTTCTTAATCACCTCTGAGATGCTTGCTCATCCAGCTTGGTCTACAACTCCTGCCTATGAATTTTT